CAGAGTCGGGGCGGAACTCCTGTCAGACAACATCTCCAGGACGCTGCGCTCCATATGACTAGTAAGCCAATTATCAAATAACTGCCATGATGACTTTTGTTCTACCCACTTAAATGATAGAAGTACTTGCGTTGTACAATCTATAAAGACTGTCTGTTCCCCGAATAGGGAGGTCAAAATATAAATTTAATGCAGGATCTAGAAAAAATCTGATCGTGATTAAACCAGAAAAATTTTAATATATATAGTTGAGTATCATCAGCATAACAGTATCTCAACAAGACCAGATGAAACTTCTAAATTATCTAAGCTAACAGAGTGTGTTAAACAGCAGCTGAATGAGACACAGATTCACTCTACCAGCAGGAGGCGCTTAAAGCGTTTCCTTGGTTACCGCTGTAAACAAAGCAGAGCTGCGCTTATGAACAGCAATGATACAGCGTTTACCTTGGTTTCCACTGTAAACAAAGCAGAGCTGCGCTTATGAACAGCAATGATACAGCGTTTACCTTGGTTTCCACTGTAAACAAAGCAGAGCTGCGCTTATGAACAGCAATGATACAGCGTTTACCTTGGTTTCCACTGTAAACAAAGCAGAGCTGCGCTTATGAACAGCAATGATACAGCGTTTACCTTGGTTTCCACTGTAAACAAAGCAGAGCTGCGCTTATGAACAGCAATGATACAGCGTTTACCTTGGTTTCCACTGTAAACAAAGCAGAGCTGCGCTTATGAACAGCAATGATACAGCGTTTACCTTGGTTTCCACTGTAAACAAAGCAGAGCTGCGCTTATGAACAGCAATGATACAGCGTTTACCTTGGTTTACACTGTAAACAAAGCAGAGCTGCGCTTATGAACAGCGTTTTCCTTGGTTTCCGCTGTAAACAAAGCAGAGCTGCGCTTATGAACAGCAATGATACAGTGTTTCCTTGGTTACCGCTGTAAACAAAGCATTTTTACAGGTTATACAAATTATACAGAGGCAAGATGAAAAGAAAAAATACCATCTAAACTTTTCTAAAGACAGTAAGTTCCCCTCAGACATGCATTCATATAAACTCCTACCCCTAAATGAATCGCCTACCCCTAAATTTGTTTAGCATCTCAACCGATTTGAATAGTCACATAATTTAATTGATTTTCAACTGGCTTGCGGTTAATCGTTACATCCCTACTGTTTCACCATTTTGAACATTTCATAAAATGTGATATTTTATTGTGATGGACATCATGATTAGCATGTTCTTAAGATGACAGTGCCATCGACGATATAAAACTTTTCATTTTCCATCCATTTGCTTGTCCACCATTTTAAAGTGTATGTGAGGGGGGAAAAAAAAAGAACGAATAATTCGAACCCAAAGACTCGAGAGATGAGCTAATCAATTCTGTTTCTGGTACCGACTGCAACTCAGCTTCAGTTTATGGGGATGTGAACGAAAGAACGAAAGACTCAGAGCGGGAGGTGAGGGACACTAACAGACTGAAACAATGAATTAATCGTTTCTGTTTCTCATAATCTGGCCTTGGTTGCAAATGAGTGAGCTCAGCTTAGAGAATAAAAACCAACCTGTTTGTTCCTCAGTATCTTCATGTTTGACTCTGAATGAAGATGAGAATAATGAACAGAAAGAAAAATAAATCGAAACTAAATCTCTGAGTGCGTCTCAATCAGCTCCCTAGAAAACGAAATAGTCCTTCCTAGCAGCAAGTAATCATTTAAACAACAGATAGCCAGTGATTGAATTCGTGTTAAAGATAAACTGATTCACGATATATGGAACGAAATGACACACACCTTCTCTGTTACTTATGTGTGGATGCGCTTTACTCACACAAAACGCTTGGTATCAATTTAAACACTTTAATTGCCGAAAACACAAACCTTTCTTCAGCAGAATCACAACAAACGCAGGAGCGCGGCGCAGACTTATGACGTCACGTCATCCTATCAAAATAAAAGTCCTGTATAGTGCAAGGTTTAAGTCCATTAAATGTGGTGAAATATGCATGTTGTCCACTTAAGTGCTGAAAATAACTATCAGTGAAAGAGTATCTTGAAAAAACTACAGTTTTTATTTAACATTGATAATAATCAGAAATAATACTTCGGCAAAAAGAGACACTAAAGACTGGAGTAATGATGCTGAAAATTCAACTTTGCCATCGTAGAAATAAATTGCACTTTCAAGTATATTAAAATAGAAAACGGTCATTTTAAACTTGTTAATAATTCAGAGTATTGCCGTTTTTGTATTTTGGATCAAATAAATGCAGCAGTGGTGAGATGTCTGCTTGTTTAAAGTGGTTTTAAACAACAGTTTAAGGCTGATTTAAAGCAAATAATAGTGAAGTTGAGGCATTATTGAATTTAAAAAAATGTAATATACAAATGCAGCTCATAGTGAGGTACACACTTTGTTTAATTTGGAGAAATCACATTGTGAAATTAGGTTGAAACACTGCTTGCCTTAAACTCAAAATATCAGTTCTACACTACCGTTCAAATGTTTTGGGTTGGCAAGACTTTTATATACATTTAAAAAAATAAAAAATTATGTTCACCAAAGCTGTTTTTATTTGGTCCAAAATACAGTAAAAAAAAGAAAGAAAAAAAGCTGAATTTTCAGCATCACTACTCTTCAGTCTTCAGTGTCACATGATCCTTCAGAAATCATTCTAATATGCTGATTTGCTGCTCAAGAAACATTTCTGATCATTATTGTGGAAGATTTGTATTAATCAAAATATGAACTAATCAATGTGAATCTAGCCATTTATGTATCAAGTCATTCTATTATTATAATCATGTACAGGTGCATCTCAATAAATTAGAATGTCATGGAAAAGTTCATTTATTTCAGTAATTCAACTCAAATTGTGAAACTCGTGTATTAAATCAATTCAATGCACACAAACTTTTCCACGACATTCTAATTTATTGAGATGCACCTGTATTTGCCCGTGTGTAGAGGCCTGCATGAGAATGGAACGTGCAGACATTACAAAACTGCAGTATATGGTGAAGCTGCACATCCTATTTGGACATTAGACAAAATATATGATGGGGCCTCTTTAGTCATGGAACATAAATTGGGGCCTCCTGTCTGCTTCTGGGTGGCAGGCTGGAGACACAGCCAAAAGAGGTAAACGAGTTGATAAACAATAACCATATGTATGAAATGTATTGAACATGGGCACGCCTTCGGGAAGCACTGTATAAAAGAGAGTACAGACACAGACTCGAGAGATTGTTCTGCAGAGCTGTCTCAGTTTTATTGTCTTTGAATAATAAAATCTCAATTCTGGCATCAAAACCCCAAGACTTTGAGAATGATTCCCCACAGCAGCGGTAGAAGCCACCACATTATCAATAATGAAAACGGTTATGCTGCTTCATATTTTCGTGGAAGCAGTGATACATTTTTTTTTTTCAGGATTCTTTGATGGAAGTTAAAAAAGAGCTTATTTGAAAATTTAAAAAAAAAAACTTTTTTCATGCTATCTTTATATTTTATTAGTTACTTTCTTTGCTTTTTTTGCATGACAATCAAATTCTTCAAGACATGGGGAACGAGAAAAAGAGAGGACATAGCTGCTGGTATTGTCCTATTTTTCTATATTTTGCAAACATTTTTGTCACCACAAATAAACATTAATAGATAATCATTCTAATCTCCTTTCAGAAGAACATCGCTCTGTACTCCTACATGAAACTTCTGGCAAGAGCAAAGGAGAGCTTAATGCATATGATATACCGTATACTACTGTAAGTGTTTTGAATTTTATGCAAGTATGATATTGGTCAGCTAATTTTCAGTGTCAAATATTTTCAGTTCAGCAGACCGATCACCAGTCGTGCCTTCTGTTTTCAGCAAGGTAATTACTCCAGTGCTTAAACTTGTCTTCTGAAGCAATCACTTTCACATCTAAATATACAGGTTCCACGTGTGATTTTCAGATGGAAAAGCAGAGATTTATATTAAAAATGGACCTAAATATTGATATCTCACTCACCTATCATATTGCTTCTGAAGACAAGGATTGAACCACTATTTGGGCACAAATAACATGCTCTAGATACAACTATACTATGATCAATTTGAAACCTGCGCCATTACAGCTCGTATCTGCTAAAAACATGTTTTGGTTCTGATTATCATGTTTATCGCGCTGAAATCATGCATTTTAAACCATATGAGTTGGTTTAAGCAATCAATCACAGACAGCGGTCGCTGCTGACGTATGGCTCACAGTGCTTGTTCAAATAGGGCTGCGTTTCCCAAAAGCATCAGAAGCTTAAGTAGATCTTAAGAAACCATTGCCACATTATTACATTAGCCTACATAACATTGTTACCATATATAAAATTAATTCTGGAAATTGCATCACGGTTTGAAGCAGCAATAGGCCTAATAATAAATGTTTCTTGAGCAGTAAATTATATTAGAATGATTTCTGAAGGGAAGGATCATGTGACACTGAAGACTGGAGTAATGATGCTGAAAATACAGCTTTGCTCACAGATGCATTTTAAATTACATTTTAAAATATATTAAAATATACAAGTTATTTTAATTGTTATATTTCACAATATTGCTGCTTTTACTGTTTTTTTTGTTTGTTTGTTTTTTTCAAATAAGTGCAGCCTTGGTGAGCATGAGACTTAAAAAACATATTACAAACTCTTACTGACCCCAAACTTTTATGTACATGTAATATTTATTTTAAATTGGCTAGTTTGTGCAAGTAAATGTATTTAAACTGGTTGTTAAAAGTTCAAATGGATTGTGTTATGTTCTGTAATTGCTGTTAAAGGGGTCATAGGATGCCCATTTTCCACAAGTTGATATGATTCTTTAGGGTCTTAATGAAAAGTCTGTAACATAGTTTGGTTAAAATTTCTCAATGGTAGTGTAAAACAACACCTTTTTTACCCTGTCAAAAACAGCTCTTTTCAAAGCAAGCCGTTTTGTAGCATTTTCCTTTAAATGTTAATGAGCTCTGCTGACCCCGCCCCTCTCTTCCGAGCCGCTCTCAGAGAGACTCTACTTGTATGGTACTAATATGCTCACTTTTAGGGGTATAGTTGCACCTTTGAGGTTACTGCCCCAGTAAAGGGCTAAAATACAGTTATAGTATATTTTATTTCTGACAATGTAAACAAAAAAGGCATATGAAATGTTAAAAAACATGGCTTTAAAATCTAATATTAAGTGAGTATTATTACTGATTATATTCTTTTAATAATTTAAAAGATCAGTTTAGTTTAGAGGTATCGGTATCGATATCGGTGATACTGGGCTTGAAAATATACTATACTTTGCCACGTCACCAAGGGAGCGAAATCAGATGCGCTCGTTTGCTGACTCTTGCAGAAAAAGGCTTACCAATACAAAGTTACTGGGTTAATCTTTTTCACGTTTCCTTGGTTGGTTGTTGAGACTAGGTGGATATGATTGTGTTAGGTGTGATCGGAGGGAAGGAGTAGGGGGTGGGTGGGTGTGTTACATTTATTAGAGAAGATATTGCATTCAGAGAGATATTCTTAATAACATCTCCTGGGAAGGATGAAATCTGCTACATCATGTTAAAACATTTGGGTGTTTTGGCATCTATAAAACTGTTAGGCTTTTATAATGAAGTTTGGGAAAAAGGAAAGTTACCTACTGGATGGAAAGAGTCAGTGATTATTCCTATTAGGAAGCCAGGAAAGGACCCATCAAATCCAAAGAATTATCGGCCAATAGCATTGACCTCACATATAGGAAAGATAATGGAAAGAATGATTACAGAAAGAATAGCATTTTATTTGGAAAGTAGAGGAATTCTATCACCTCATCAGAGTGGTTTCAGGAGAGGGAGAGGAACTATGGACCCCATTATATGTTTGGAAACAGATGTTAAGAAAGCTCAGGTTAATAAGGATTCAGTGACCTTGAGTGATGTATCATATTACAGGAAAGATACAAGAGGCAATTGAAGTAGTAGAAAAATGGTCATATGCATGGGGATTCAGGTATTCAGTAGATAAAACATAAACAATAATGTTCACTAGGAAAAGAGGTATTGACACACAGATAAAGATGTACGGACAAACTATTGAACAAGTTAAAGTTTTTAAGTTTCTGGGTGTATGGTTTGATGCAAAATTAACATGGAACGAACATATTCAAAACACTAAATGTAAAAAGATTTTAAATGTGATGAGATGTCTAAGAGGATCAGAGTGGGGAGCGAGTAGAGCTGCAATGAAAAGTATTTATATAGCACTGATTAGATCAGTGTTAGATTACGGAAGTATTGTTTACGACTCGGCAGCAAAAACTTTACTGAAGAAGCTGGATGTAATACAAGCTCAAGCTTTGAGACTTTGTTGTGGTGCTTTTAAAACGACTCCTGTATCTGCTCTTCATATACTGATGGATCTACAGATCCTAATACAGGGAGAACAGGTTTTGCTTTCAGTATTCCATCCTTAAACATTTCTGTTAATAGGAGAACAGATCATTTATCAGTATATACAGTAGAGATGATGGCAATAGCAACAGGCATTCACATCTCATAGTAGACAGGATATAGTAAATGAGATATATGAAAATCTGTATAGATTTAAGAATATGAACATCATGATAATATTTATGTGGATACCAGCTCATAGGGGGATAAAGGGTAATGAAAAGGTTGATGGATTAGCAAAACAGGCATTGGAAAACGAGGATATCATGAATATCTCACTTAGTAAATATGAAGCAAAAGCAGTAATTAAAGCATATACCACTAAGGAGTGGCAACATAAATGGGATACAGGAAATACAGGACGTCAACTTTATGAAATACAACGAGAAGTAGGAGTAGTGAGAATAACTAAAAGAAGCACCAAAGAGGAACATATTCT